CCTGACCTGCTGTGTTCCTCCGGCTCCACACTGTATTGACCAAGCCATGGTCATGCAAGTTATTCCTGCTTCATTTAGAAAGTAACATATTCAATTTAATTTTTGTCTTAGTGCATCAGTGTAAGGGTGACAGCCTTGACAAATTGAATACCTTCCCATCTCTGACACCATGTGGTTACTTTTACCCTTCCCCAGACAACTGAAGCTGATGAATTTAATGGGAGCATCAAATTCGTGAACCTATTGGCATTAGCCTTATTGAAACTTTCTATAGTCTTTCTTTTCTCAGTCTCTAAGGCATGATCTTGGGTGACTGCTAATAGCTAGACTTTTAAATCAGCAGTAGCTTTGAGGCAGTTAGATTGCTTCAAGTCCTGTATAATATTAATGGGCTGGTGTTCATTTTAATACTCAACTTTTAAGCTCCTCCATGGTACATTGCAACCATAGAGTTTGGGTTTCTACTTGTTTACTGAAAGGAACCTCAATGCTTCCATGACTCGAGGACTGAGACTGGATTGCAGATTTTGCATAGCTATTCGTGGTGCTCTACATAAGAAATATCGTGATTAGGAATGACGAGCAGGGTTTCTGTGATCTTTCTTCCATTGTTACAAAGTGTAACTTGTATCTTCATGCTAACACTGATTTTAATACTTCCTGCCCCCCAAATTTTAATGGAAGTAATTTAAAGAACTCTCAACCACAGCCACAGGGTTGTGAAAGAATAGAAACATTCATCTCTGTATCTAATTTAAATTTGTTTTAAAAAGCCAAAGAACTGCGGATGCTGTAAATCAGGAAACCAAACAGAAATTGCTGGAAAAGTTCAGCAGGTCTGGCAGCAACTGTGAAGGGAAAAACAGAGTTCATGTTTCGGGTCTGGAGACCCTTCCTCAGAAAATTTGTTTTCTTTCCCCAACCTTGATCTCCAAAATTCACCTTGTGGGTCTTTGTAGTCTGGGGTGCCTAAATATTCCAATCAGCCTGCCATGACCCCAGGAAGAATTCTTCCCATGCCTTGATGTCGCCTAATGCAGACATGTATTGTGTTGAATGTAATTTTCTGTGCTGCTTTTGCAGCAGTAACATGGTTTGTCTCTCAGCACTCACAACTCTCTATAAACCTGTTAATAGTGTTGACCCTGTTTCTTTGTACATTTGCCAGTGGTGAATTTTCTGAGTGCTCATTGCTTCCCGATACCAGTGTGCCCTCTGATCTACAATGCTATTTTAGTCACTGTGGCTGGTTGTTTCTGCTGGAACCTTTCCAGGTACTCTGCTCCGGGCCTTCTTCCATGCTTTTTCAGCTTTTGTACAGGATTTCCTTATCCACAGATAGATAGGCCTTGATGTCTGTTATTCACTGCCTCCTGTCACCAGTAGTGTCTCTTGAGTCATTTCCCCAGTTTTAGAGTCCTTCACACAGAGCATACGTGTTGTCTGGCCTTCCCTATAGGTGCTTCTTAATGTTTGCCTCTGGTTCCATGAGTCTAGTCACTGCACCCACCATGTAGTAATATATGAGCTGTACACTCTGAGGAGTGAACAGTAACAAGTTAATTACGCATAACATGTTCAAGGCATGAAGAACATCTTCTGGAACCCTACAGCCTAAAGCTTCAGCTCCCTATGATCTGATTTCACTGTGACATGATTCTGCACTGGCTCAGTCGATATTCGTAAAAGTAAAGGTACAATAAACCGTTTACTCTACAGAATTCAGCTGATATTTTAACCCATGCCTATCCATAACACGCCAAACCCAAATCCAAGCAGCTCACTGAACACAGGCTAAATCCTGAACATAGGAGCTATTTGGTCAGCAACACCAGGGCATTTGTACCGAATGAAACATGAAGGCTTTCTGGTAAAATAATTTTAGTAACTGAAATATAAATGAAGAGCAAATGGGGTTTCCAATTAGATCTTCAGTAAAATGACTGGAACAAAGCCCCAACGTGTTTGACATTTAGACTTTGACTGAAGCACCTTGATTAAAGCAGGAATAAGGAACTTAAGAAATTTTGCATAAAACCAATTGAAGGCACATTTGAACTAAACCATATGAGTCTGCTCTGAAGACTGCTTAAAAAATTGGTAACTTATTAAAATGCCTATGCCTAAAATTTAAATGTGATTGATATTGGTCTAATTGGAGACATTTTCTGACACTTTGACTGCTTGTAGAAACAAGTTATACAGTGTAAGAGCACTCAATTAATGTTCACTGTTAATTGACTTTTTAAATTATTGCATGAGGGGTTAAACTGTCCCGCTGTGTGAAAGCGAACAAGTGCCAATGCCTGTGGATATGTGAAGGGGGCTGGGGATGACTCCAATCTATTTCTGTAGCCTTTCAGCTGACAGTGTAAAGTCGATTTGAAGAAACAACACCCAGAGCAGCAGAGCTAAGAATAGTGAATCAGCTTCACTGTGATCCTGTCAAGCTGTTCCCTCTGTTTAGTGTTGCCTTGGGCTGACACTATTAGTTTGTTGAAAAATCCCTACCTTCTTCATGTCCTGCAATCAACCATTCCAACAGTAACGCTGTGTGACTCACCACTAATTCCACGCTGCTCAAATTGTCCAGATAGCTGGACAGCTCCCCAGTGTTACAGAGCATTCATTGGGAGCAATTCTCTTGTCCAAAGCTCCCTGTTTACCACACTCTGCTCCCCATGTCATGAGCTGTACAGTACACACTGCTCCCCGTGTCACACCCTGTACAGTACACA